CGAGGAGGCCTGGGTCGCTGCCGGCGTCGGGGTGTCTGCCAACGCAGGAGAGACCCCGGGGAGGGCTGGCTCGCGCCTCTGCCCGCTGCCGTCAGGTAGCGAAGCTCCGTTACCCCCCCGGCTGGTGGGTGCCGGGGGATCCGGTGCCCTTCGCTGGAGGAAGAGCAACAATCCGGGTGTCGGGGTGACTCTGGCACTGCCTTCCTCTCCCTGCGTCGGGTGCCACCGGACCGAGAGCAAAGGAGCCGCTTGATAGCCGGCAAACTCCTCTGCTGGGTTTTTTTTTTTAATGCTTCCCTAGAAAAGAAAATAATTTTCTTCCAGCTGCCCTCCCCCTTGCGTGGGAAGACGGGACGTGAAGCCTCGCCCGGGAGAGGCGGCAGCAGGATTGCTCCCGAGCGGAGGCAGAGAGTTAGCGATCTCGTTTGGTGACCTCGGGGATGGAGATAAATCATTTGATTAGATCGCATTAAAGTCGCTGCCTTTTCCTCGCCTGATTGGATTTTGGAACGTAGTCCCCGAGCAGCGCCAGGACAGGGACGTCCCTGCTGCCGACGTCGGCTTTCGCCTCCTTTTCCTTACGCTCTGCCTCCCGGGACCCCGGGCTCGAAGCGAGCGCAGGGAGCAAAACAAAGCGAAGTTTAGCTGTGAAAAATCAGCTTTTCTCTCCCGTGGCACGGAGGCCGAGAAAACGAGCTGACTGCAGCCGGCGGCTAATGCCACCTGTTAATAAATAACGACCTGTTTGCTTTGGCCGTCGCGTCGTCCCGGGGTTGGATGTGGACGGAGGAGCGGGCGAAGCAAAACCCGCCGCGGGCAGAGCAGTCAGGAGCCTGGAAACGCCGGGCTTTAATAGGATTTAATGGTCGGTCCCTGCTCGGTGCCACGTTTCCTCGCAGGCGGCGGGGCCTCTGTGTCATCCCGGTCCCCCGGGGGATTAAGTGCCTTTCGGGAAAGGTAAATCCCCGGGGGATGCGGGGATCCTTTCTGGGGGATCCAGATTTGTTGCTGCCTGAGTTGCGGCACCCCCGGGGGGGCTCCTTGCAGAGAGCCGGAGCAAAAAGAGCCACGAAGAGCTCACAGTTAAGGGCAAAACACACGGAAACGATGCTTTTGGTGACCGGGAAAAGGAGAGCGGCACGAGGCCGTTGTCTTTCGCAGGAAGAAGCGTTGTTTGCATTTTAAACTTTATCCGTGACCCTTTCTGGGTTTTTTTTCTGAATTTTCCAAGCTTTCTGCCAGTGCCTCGTCGGCTGAGCGGCCGCGGTTTGTGTTTTCCAGTGCCCGTGCCACGGCTGGGGCAGGTCCCGGGGAAGCCGGCAGCCGCTCTGCCAGGAGCTGTGGGCGGAACTTAGTAGA